AAGGTTGGCCAGGCAGAGACCGCGGGAGCCAGGAACTGACAGTTTTACACTGAGCATCGATTTTCTAAATGATTCTTCTCAGATCCGAGGCCTTTCATTAGGTTCATTAGATAACATGTTTTGACCCAAGAAGCCATGTCCTTCCTCCAGGTGCACATAGGTCACCCTTCATTCTACGCTCCACCTGCAGTTGCCTGACTCTCGGCAGCCGCATGCTCCGGGCCCAGCTCCCCGCTCCCTTCCGCTCAGGTCCTAAGCCGGGGAGTGGGTGTTCCTGGTTCCTGGCTCGCTTCAGTTTACGAGAACAGCAAAATCAGAACATGCTTCTCTCCTCCCCCAAAGCCTGGGCCCAAGCTAACGTTTCACCCCCACTCCACCGCTCAGGCTTCAATACAGGACGGATAGTGTTTGCGTGGACTTTCCCCATGACACCCTGGCAGGGACGAGAGTGGCCCGATGGGCACCTCTGTGGCGGCGTGTGTCCCCCCCACGCTCCCGGAGGCCTGCTGGGAAGGGCAGCTGCTACGCTGCCTCGTCTGAACAAGCTGGAGGCGTTAGTATAGAGAGGAGAGGCCCGTGCTCCGGGATAACGGGATGGGTGCTACGCTGAAAGCAGTTTGCACTGAGCGTAGCTGCTGCGAGTCCTCCGAGCAGCTGCGGCCTGTGTTGCATGATGAACGCTCGTCCAGGGCGCAGCAGCCCCTCTGAGGCTGAGCAAAATCAATCGTACCTTCCACCGGTCAGAGTGGCTGTCATAATTGTGCCATATTCATGATTTACAAAGGTCCTGGCTGTCTGCACATCAGTGATGCCTCCCTCCCCATGCTCAGCTGCAAAGCAGAAATTTCAGAGCTGTGGCTGGTTGTCTAGTATCGTCTAACCCAAGGCCAGGCCCTACGAGCTACTTAGAACAAAGTGAACCCGCAGTTATAGGCGGGGTTTGTGCTTCGTGATACCTTTCCCCTTGGTCCCCTCGTGTCCCCTTAACCGGATTCCAGAAGAGGTCATTCCCTCTTCCATTCACTAACTCATCTCAGCAGCCAGTGAACGGATACAGATAGGGACCATTCGTACACTTTGAGTCCATTTCTAATAAGATGATGATAATGCCTTTCATTTACTGGGCATCTACCCCACGCTCATGTTAGCTCATTCCCTCCCCACGTGCAGAAATCATGACGCTGCTACACAGTATTACGTGTACTTATACATGATACATACTGAGGGAGCCGAGTGCAGAAGCTGGGGCTTGTTCAAAGTTCCAAACTCAGGTCGAGCAGGTCTAGCTGCCTGCAAACCCCATGCTCTTTGCACAGTCCCGAGCTCTCTCCATCCCGCTGAGGGAGAAGACGACACGGTCAGCACATCATGGGCAGTGGTCATACTAGCTGGAGGGGAGATGTTGGACGTGGACTTGTCCCTGCAAAGGCCACCAAGATGGGATATGACTAATGGAAGCCAAACTGAGTCGAAACAACTGTGCCGACCGGCCCTGGGCCCGGATGGTGAGCTGGACACTCGGTGCCAAGACAGCAACTTGGAAAATACTTGGGGACTTTCCTCTTCTAATTTAAGCCACATATGTCTTTGGAACTGCGTCCCCTGTGTGTGGTACACTGTTGAGCTTTTAGAAATATAAATCTCCAAAATGCCACAAGAGGAAGACATGACCACAGATACCCCTCCACATGCCCCAGGTGCTGGGTCTCTCCGCAGGGGAGCTGGCCGTCCAGTCTCACTTGGCAGGTTCTCCAGCTCTCTGGGGGAGAGCCAGGCTGGCTGTCCCCTTGAGGGTGCTTTCCTCGAGTATAACCGCATTCGGGGTTTGTGTGTCTCACCTTTGGAAGAATAATTCAGACAGGCTCTGATGTAGCACCTGCTGGGGAGCTGTTACTGGGGCTTTTGTTTATGAGGACTTTGTGTGGGCGCGATGTCATCAAGAGCTACATGGAGACACATCTGTCTGGTTCTAGACCCCAGAACCCTGGGACACGTTGAAAGAGCACTTGGGACGGGGTTTGGGAGGCTCACTTCCCGCTACTGACTGGGGCTGTATTTTTATGGCAGCAAGTCCTCCTTTAGCGTGAAACACCCTCCGACTCGCCTTGCCTGCAGATGGCAGAAACAGTACTGTGAGGTGAGGAATGTACCCCAATAGTCACTCATTCAGAAGTGAAAGGAGGAACACATGATAACCTATTTTTAGATTCATAAAGTCGGGGTAATTTCTATAAACATCCCAACTCCTTTTTCAGCCCCTTAATCCAGGGTTCTGTAAGGTAGGCTGAACTTGATCTCACCGTTTTATAACAAAAATGAAACAACAACCACCAAAAACCAAGTGAAATAAAAACCTGGCTGGGACCGAGGATGGAGATGGGCCAATGAGCTCACAGCACACCTTTTCCAGGTTGTCCTAGGGACTCACTGGACAGCAGCCTCCATGGGGAGGCCTCCCAGACAAATGTCCAGTTGAGCAGAGCCCTGTGTCTGGTCACTACCAAAAATGAAGCAATAAGATGCTTGTTAGAGAAAGCATTGGATAATTTCTTTCCCCTTCGAACCTTAAAAACATCATCATTTTTAAAAAATGCAAACCTCCCTCTCCCACTTGTTTCCAAATCTGTTTAACCATCCAAGTAATCTGGAGGCAGATCAGTAAAAAGTTAAAATCCTAGCTTGATTATTTCCAAATACTTAGTTTTGGCAGCTGGACTTAGCCCTAAGTAGAGTCTGCCTTAGCACACAAAACTGAGCCTGGCAATTAGCTTTTATCCATTGTATCCCAAGAGTGCTTCAGAAGCTCTGCGAAACACTGTGTTCCCTGCATCCTACCCCTCTCAGTTCCAATTGCACTATTCACATTCTCAACAAAATCCCATTTCTTTGGGCAAATGTTAGTCTTGCACGTGTTAGAATCTTTAGGGATCTCAAGCCAATGGGATCCAAGTGGGGCCCTGTTATGTCCACTTAGGAGTCGTCGAGCATTTTCATTAGAAAGAGGAGCCCTTGTCCTGGGTCTCTGTAGATTTCCGAGCTGGCGGGGCCTCATTTCCCCGCATGAGCACGTTAAGCAGAAACACATGTGACCGGCGCTGAGCTGGGCCTGGCATCCTGACGGAGTGTGATTAGGTCTGGAGAGGAAATGGAGCACAAGCACAGGGCACGGTGCGGGGGAAGGAATGATTCTGAACCCAGAGGGCGGGGGGTAGGCACTGCCTCCAGCGCATCTTGCTGCATCTAAGCCCCGAGATCCTCCTACGAGACCTTCCTGCTTATCAATCGATCTTTTTAAGGTTTCGTGACAGCCCTTGTAATATGACATCTGCACAGGGGAAGAACTTTCTTTCATCAACATACTATGACCTGGTGACCCCAAGTCAGAGGAAATACTGACACTCACTTACTAGCTGTGCCCCAAGCAGCCTTGGGGTGCAGATGAGACTTTGGGGACCCATTTCATACCAGAAGAACTACTTGGGTCCTGAAGAGCCCCAGTGGCGAAGCCCTTATAAGAACTAGATCCCAGATTTATTCCAGGTGGACGACCACGAACCCCATTCACCGAGAGGCCCTGGATTGACTTAACCTGGGAGGAGAGAGAAGAGACACGGAGCCCGCGTCCCGCCCTACTGTGCACTACACATCACACATGTTCGTCCCCCCCTGCAAACCTGTGGGGGGCTTTCGTTCTTCTGAAGACCAGGACACTGAGTCTAAGTGACCCAACCGAAGCCATTTGTTGATTCAGTGGATACTCACCATGCACCAGAAGCAACCGTGGCCGAGGCAGACACCCCCCGGTGGGGCTTAGATTCCCTCTAATATCTTTCAAGCACTTATTTGATCATGACTCACAGTAAAAAATACAGATTAAACGGCCACACGACACATACGTCATAAGACACACACATACATATATATGAAGCAAAGCTTCTGCATATACACCCAAGAACTTGTCTTCCGTGTGCGTGATGAAGTCCCTGGCGTTTTCTGTTCTGTCTTTTTTAAAAGCACATTTGGCAGTAACCAGTTAAGTTGATTTCATGACCCGCTAAGGCGTCACCAGCCAGTTTGAAAACATGGCACTAGCTGACTTGAATGGGATGAACTGATACTGATACTGATATTCCTTCAGGGCCGGGGAGCTGCCGACATCCTTTCCAGAGTCTCGGCTCAGGGAAAGAAGAAGTTGCTCCACTTTTTTCCCAGCTGGGGCATTCAGTAGAGGCCGTCTAACTCTGATCTGGGTCCCCCACAGTGTTCAAGCTCCATCCCGTCCTTACAGCCTGTCCCCCGGGTGCCCCCGCAGTAAGAGTAAGTTCTGCCTTTTCCCTCAAGCCTTTCGGTCTTCCCACAGGATGACGTCAGAGTACCCAGGCCACTATGGCGAGGACATGGACATGATTTCCTACAGCTCTGATTACTACATGCGAGGAGCTACGACCACCTTCTCCGCAGTGGAAAGGTGAGCCTCCCCTGGGCCGGGGGTTCGAGGAGCCTGTCTGCAGGAATTTCCATCTGGGGCCTTCACTGCTGTAGCCGCCCGCCTGCTCTGGGATTAACGGGAGGCTGGCTGGGTGACGGGAGGCGGGGAGAACCGAACTATCCTCGCGAGCGCGCTGCAAGGAGGGGCCCGCCTGCTCCGGGGCCGAAGGCCTCTCCTTTGTAGCCCATGATGTTCTAAGCTCTTCCCTTCCCTCAATTTCCAAAAGCTTTTTTTTTTTGCCAGACACCAGGAGGAGAGGGCAACCATGGCCGTCAGACGGGCCCCTCTCCGCGCTCTTTCTCCGTAAGACCCCACTTTGGGTTGTGGGGAGACAGGAGGGGAGGGGCCTGGAGAGAAGAAACACACTGACTTACCAGCCAGGTTTAGCAGTGAAAGAGGGTAATTTTAAGAACATAAAAAAGCACTGACTCTTTCATCCACTTTCTCTCACCGTCAGCGTCCCAATCCTACCTTAGAGACGCCAAACAATGCAGTTTCTCCCCCCCCCGCCCCCCTCCGCATAGAGACGGGTGAGGGCCCGCGCACGCAGGGGCTCGCGGCTGCCCCGCCCGACCTAATTTCAGTCAGGTGAGCGTCACTGAGCCCGCAAAAGAGTTCCTGGGAGGTTACCCAGAGTGTTTGCAGAGAACAAAACTTAGAGTAACTCATCAAATTATGGACGGCGATGACTTTGGGTATGACTTGACTTTTGTGCATATTTATGTTTTTAAATGAAATGACATCTCGCCGAACTGAAGTTCACTTATTTAATAAGGCCCACAGTTTAGAAAACAAAAACAAACCAGAAAACAGGCAAGCGTTAATCAGCTATAAAGGGGCTTCTTGAGCAAATTCCTTTATTTTTTCTCATAAGAGGGCCCTCAGTTCTCAGTCATTAATCATTTTTATTTCAGATACATTTTTAACTAATTTAGCTACCTATTGTCTGGAAGCAGCAAATTCAAAAATGAACAGGAAGAGAGTACTTAGAATGTAACTTTTTCACCAGGGAGAAAAAATAGCTGAATGGTGTCACACTGCACACACGCATGCATGCACACACACACACACGTGCACACATGCATGCACGTACATACACATGCACACACGCACACACGTGTGCACATGCATACACACGCACATGCACACACGCACATATGCAAACCTGCAGGCACACACAAGCACATACACACATGTGCACATGCACATGTGCACAAGCATACACACACACACATCTAAGAGAAGGAAAGATCTCAGAACTCAAAGACCACAGAAACCTGGTGACATTTTACAGGCTGTGTAGCCCCAAAGGGCAACTGGAGAGCAGGAGAACTGGGTGCTCAGTATTCTTAATGACATCTCCATGTCAACAAGAAAACTAGCTCTGCATTCCCTGTTTAAGAAGGCAGGGAAAATTACAGAAAAGGAAGAATACCGTCTACACTTACTACAAAATGAATGCATTTGGGCAGTCCAAGTGCCCACTCCCTCCACTGCTGTTCAGGCTGAGGGAGCCTCCCTGCTCTCACACCCAGCCCGTCCTCTAGGCAAACACGCGAGTGATGGGGTTCCAGCAGAGCAAGAACGGCAGGGACCCTGCCCCTCCCTGGAGGGGTTGTACTGGTTTCCCCTCGCCTCGTTCCCTGTAGGCGTGTTTCCCAAAGGAGCCTGCAGCAGGGTAAGAACTCACTAAAAGGAAAAACAGATGGGCAGATGGATGGCCCAGTTATGGGAAGATGCTTTACAATGAACTGGGGACAGTGTAGGCTTGTACTCTGAGCTGTTAGGGACAGAACAGTGAGGAGTGGACCATGGGACCTCCACAGCCAGTAACCTAGTCAGTCACCTCCCGAGGGCCACCTGACCTGGGTGAGGAAAGTCCAGGACTCTGTCGGTTTTCTGGAGACTTCACAGACATGTCCTCTGAGAGCCAAGTGGGAGTAGGCGTCCCTCCAGCTCCTGACTTCTCCGAGGTGGCGCCCCAATTTCCCTCTGCAGGAACTCTCCCTAAAAAGTCCTTTCTCACCCCCTTCTTTCTGACTCTCCCGCAGGGACCGCCAGTGGAAGTTCATCATGTGCCGCATGACCAACTACGACTGTGAATTCGCCAATGTTTAGATTTGCCGCAAACCAGATCTGGGTGAAGGGCAGGGACAGGGGGCCCGAGGATGTCCACCTATGTCCACATCAGTCAGATCCTGAGAGGTTCCTGCCGTTCTTTTCTCCCTGAGCCAGGCGGCAGCTGAGATGCCAGCTTCCTAAGCCTTTCTGACTAGTATCACACTTATAATCAAACCCACAATGAAACCACGCTTCTCACTTTCAACATGGTCCGTAGCACCCACTTTAGAGGCCTGACGGTGGCTTTCCTGCAGGCTGCACGTGCCCCGTGCCAGCTGCAGCCAGAGCACAATGCCCGGAGCCCCTGCTGAGCAGTCCCCAGGAGGGGTTCGTGGAGGGCGCAGGGCAGGCTGAGGACCGTGGCAGGGCAGAAGCCGGAGTCCTCGGTCCTCCGCTTGAGGGGACATGCTGCCTGGAGGTTCAGGGCACAGCTCCGTGCTCCACGGGGGAGGAGACGGGAAGTGAACTGGGAAACGGGAGGGTCTGGATTGGAAGCTCCCTGGGTTGGAAGGAGGCTGTCAGCACACCCGGGGATGCGGGGAGCGCAGGAACCTGGTTAGAATCCGTCTGCAGTGAGACAGAAACGGGAAGAAGAGAAAGGCCAGAGGACTGACTCGGGCGAGGGTCCTGGGTGGAAGGGGAGTGCAGGGGCTGCTTTGGGAAATGGGGGTGGGTTTGAGTCGCTGGACCCTGGGGGTACGGCCAGGACTCCTGGGAAGGCTACTGGCCCGCTCACCCGATTGGCCCGGATTTTCTGGACAGAAAGGCTGCCCTGAGGGCCCACTCCCCTCCTGTGTGTAGTTTAGGGGTGTCTTTGGCAGAGGCGGCACTGTCTTTCCCTCTGCTGTGATGCGTCCCCAGCCATTTGTACTCTGTTCATTATAAAACAATAAACATATTAGCATTCACTGTGCTGCAGTGGTGAGGCCCAGCATTCGCCCCCTCCCC